ATAATTTTCTTTGGCCATATTTTCTAAACATAGTTTCCGTAGCTATTTTTAACTAGATTGGCAGATTCAGTTAACACATCACAATATCAATACCCATAAAATTAATCATTATTTAAATTATTAAAATAATACTAGGTAATGTAAATGTAAATATTTACCCAAATGTCCTTATTATCCAAACAAATTAATTGTACTTTAGAACGGTTATGAACTTATGAATAGGTAGCAACTTAGGGGCCGCGGCGCTTAGAATTTTTACTTGAAGCTTTTATACAAATATTATTTTTTCGTTTTATTTATTCTGTATATCAGCGTGAGTGTATGTCACTAGATACAAATATTAATCTTGTGTATTTTTAACAAAATAATTATTAGAATATTTTGACTAATTCAAATATTTATTATGTATATTAGAATACATACTATAATTTTTTTTTTTAGTATTTATATATAATACAATTTAAATTGTTGTAGGTACTGTTTCATGAAAAATCTACCTATGCGCATGTTTTCAGTTAAAATTTGTATTTTTAATTTAATGTTTTATCTTTTTATATGTCGCCGATATTAATGATTATAAAATATCTTGTACAGTATTTTTACCGTCATCAAAATGCATTAACGTGATGAAATTATGTTTTAAATAGCATAAACGTAATATTACTTATTATTAGTTTATAGGTCATCATTGTCCATTAGCCATTATGAAATTCAAAAAAATAATAAACTTAGGTGTAATATATAATATGGTTAATAGCGATAGGGTGTTTTAAAATAATCTATAAATAACCATATTACTAAAAAAGTTAAAAGCATAACAATGTATTAAGAGGACGCCACACCCACATATTTTGTCGTTTCCGTCTTAACAAACGCGTAACATAGCATATTATACTGTCACTGAAGGATTCCCCTCTCTACACACTCCACAATGACCCAATAGTCTGTGATTGTAACCACTTACTCTTTATCTGCCTCAGCCCATCAACACATCGTGACCACATATTGTCTCTTTTGAACACTACCAAGTACCAACAACCATTTCGGTACCCTATATAAATATATTCCCAAACCAACAAAAAAACATATTAGGTATTGAACATATTATCTTTATTTAGTCATTGAGGCTTTGAAATTTAATTTTATATTGTTACTGTTTCTTATTATAATAGAAACTTCTATATTATATTTAATAATTGTTGAAACTAACTGTAATCAAAAAGTTTAGATAAATAGATAGTTAAAAAAAAGCGAGTACCTAGTAGGTATAATAGTGCTTGAAATATTATAACACGAAAATGCCCATAACTCGCTTCAAATTCAAATATTGAAAAAACTTTTGACAAAACATAAACAATGTTGTTACGTTTAAGTATTATAATATGTCAGTCCACTTTAATATTAAAACTAAAAAAACTGAACGTGATCTATTGCACTTGAACATAAATTTGTTGTGTTATGCACTTGTAAGACGAATACAATAAATGGGGGCTCGGACAACTTTTGATTCAATTATAATACTAATTTAAAATACAACGGTCTTTAGTTGTTTTTGTATTAGGATTTATTCAATTAATATTTATTTTAGAAATGTAATTATTCTATCACAACATCAAATGAATATATTGTTCATACATCAAGTCATCAATTTATATTAGGTTATAAGCCAATAACTATAATATGCACATAGATTGATAGGGCATGCCGGGGCATGGACCAGTTGCTCAACCAAATTTGTATTTTAGGTAAATAGGATCTGTGTAACAATTGCGCTGTTTATATTTTAGGCTAGTATACCAATTGCACTACATATACTCGTACTTTAGGTATGTTTATGTAGGGGTGGCTACAGAGAGGCCCTAGGGGCTGCACCCCCAAGCCACTATTTATAAAAAGTAGAATATTGTTAAAAAAAAAAAAAAACAAAAATACATATTATACTATCGACTATCATTGACATTAGACACGTATTAGCAACTCTACCAGTTACCTTTGCCTCTGCCGAAAGGAGTTTCTCCACACACCAGAGAGTTAAACCTGGAGGTTAAGCCATGGCTTCATTCTGCAAGGATGACTGAAAATAGACTATCAGTATTATGTCTTATTGATGTGTATAACAAAATGTATGTCCTTGATCAAATAGATTACATTCTTGATATTTTTGACAATTCTAAAAATAAACGACTTGAATTTTTGTTGAAAAAATTGTTGTTTTTAAATTGTTTTAAAGTTTCGTGAAAATTATAACTCCCCCCCTCCCCCAGCCAAATCTCTGGAGATACCTCTGCAGTGTTTATGTATATTAGTTAAATTATAAATTTACTAAATTACTAACTATTATTGGCGTGCATTGTGTAACAATTGTTAAGATTGACGGACATATCGGTTTTATTCATTCTGAAAAAACTTATAATACTGTAATGTAAAATAACATAAGGTATAATTTATCATACTGATTTATTTAATTCTAACTATATATTTGTGTATATTCGTGCATATTAGATTATATATGTATTATTAATGTTTGTGTTCTATTCCGATAGAAATATTGTTAGAAAATGACCGAGTGCAATTAGTTTATGAAAAGGTCATATTCAGAGCAATTGGTGAATTCCCGATAGATATAATACCATTGGTTATAAACAGATAGGTCGTGGGTATCTACTAGGATGTCTGAGTGTATTCTGTACTTATTATCAATGCTAATACTTGTACTTATAAATTACTTCTTATTAGATATTAATGATATTATATTACTATAGCGCCAACACTTGTAAGCATTTGCATATTTTTATTGGTTGGTCAAAAAAATAGCTAGTTTATGTCAAAAATTATTTCATAACCTAACAATGCTGTATACGAAATGTTATTTTGAATATTTTTGCATATTATAGCATTTTTGCATTTTTATTGCATATTTTACTATTTTAGCATTCAGTATATTTTTGCAGCATATTAAGGATCTTAAAAACTCGGGAATCACAAAATATAAATATATTGCACTCATATACCTTATTATGAGCAATTCAACATATTTATAAAAATAGGTAAGGTTAGATTACTAATCTTAATCTCAAAAATCATCAAAAGTCGATTCTTTCAATTAAGATTTGTGCAAAACTTTGTTACCAGCTAGTATAACCATGAATAAATTACAAAATATCTATTTTCGTTCATTTTTGGAAAAATATACACATAAAGACATTCCATCGGTATCTTTGTTAAGAAATACCTGTGTCGACGAGTGCTATGATGGAATGGATATGAATGGACGAAACTACTGACGTTCAATCTCGATTTATTGTAAACGTAATTATTGATATTTTAAATGGCGATGAAGCAGGTAAAATATTTTTAATTTTTTCCAGTATTTTCGAAAAAACCAACCACTCAGCAATATGCCAAATTTTTGATAAAGCTCTTTTCACATTATGGCCTAATGGAATCCGAAATCCTGATGTAGTCTTGTGTTTGAGCGATGTTGCTCTTTATCAAAAAATGGTCCACGTCACTTTTGTGGCCCATAGGCTACACCGGGTGGGAGAAAAAATTCGTGGTCAATATCCAAAAATTGATGAGCTTGCCTCAAACACTAAAAAATATTTTTAAAAGCACCAAGTCGTATTGATTTGTTTAAAACTGAGGCTCCAGGTATTACATTACCTCCAACGCCTATATTGGCAATATGGGGTACATAGATTTTTGCTTCAATGTATTATTGTGAACATATTCAAGCTATTCGAAATGTAGTACAGAAATTAAACCCCAAAGACGCCGTTCCAATAGACAAAGTTCAAAAATTAATTTATAAAGATCAAGTTGAAGCAAATTTAACTTTTATTCATTCAAACTAAGGATTTTTACGGAATACCATAATAAACTATCTTTAGAAAGTCAGAATGTTTTACTAGCATACTTGATTAAACTAATAGAAAAAAAATATTAAATAAGAAAAGATATTTAAAAAAAATAATGGTTTTCATATTCTTAATCAATATCAATATGGTTTATAATTAAGTAAAATATGTCATAGAAAATATTTACATACAAAGAATATATTAAGAAGGTAAAACATCAAATTTATCAACAAATTAATGTAATTATTAAGTCATCGTGTTTTTAATGCTTCATACCCTTAGACCCTTTAGTCAATAGCATTTTACACTGAACGGAGTGCATATAATACTATTATGTTCGCTACTTATACTACCAAAAACAATTAATATAATATTCACCCTACCGATATGCAATATCTCGTTAAATTATCTCGATAATTGGATTATTTTTAATTTAATTTATATCTGATAGGTACTGTATTACAGAAATGAAGTTAGTTTTCCAAATAAACTGTCAGTAAAAACGTAATTTTCAAATAAAATGTAGGTATTAACTCTATTATTACCAATATTAATAATATCAATTTTTAGAAAACTGATAATCTGTATTTACATTTTACAACACAATAAGTAAATGTAATGAATCGTGAATATATAATACAACTATACAAATACCTAGTTATTTTTTTTACTATTTTTTATTTTAGAACTTTCAGCACATAACTATTATAGTTCAACTTTTACAATGTCAATATACAATATAGTTAGGAATTAATTGAACAAATACCTAGTTATTTAATTAATTTCAGCTATAATAGCTTAAGCGGTGTTAACACCCCGAGTTGTTGGGGAGTGTGAATGAGAATAGATGTGAATTAAGAGGATTTAGGTGGTACCTATCTATAGTTTGGTGCGGAACTTATTGTAACAATTTTTGGCTAGTTGCTCAACTGCAGTTGATATAATATTTAAATCTTTTTTAATGATTAATGACACTTCCTACATGATTTTTTATTTTTCCACATGATAAATAATGATACATAATAATAATAATAAATAATAATAATACCCACCTACCTACCTACCTAATACATATATTTTGTATAAATGAATAATCTCTTTAACTTAAAAAAAACATAGTTTCAATATACTACAAAGACTCACCATTGCTGATCTAAGGGTAAAGAAACGTCAATGTCTTCTACAAAATGTAAAGGCTTTATGTTGGATAAACTTAATGTTGGACGGTTTGGTTGATCTGAAAAAAAATACATTTATGTATAATTATAGGAATATAATCTATTTATACTCAGTATCAAATATATCTATAGATTACTATTGTTTAAATGAATTTACAATTTATAAAAATTGACTCGTTAGACGTTAATGGAAAATCTTTAAAATAACCATTAAAATATTTTAAACATGTGTTCCGGGTGATGTTTTATTTTTTAAATATAAATTATGTTTTTAACATATTAAACTGAATTTATTGAATATACATATACTTATTACGATTTTAGAAGTAATGAAAATCAAACTAAAATAAATTTGAACTATATTTTTATCAACATTTTACTATTATTTTTACTTCATGTTTGTTGATATTTGCTATTACTTGATTAAACATTATATAGGTAAATTAAATTAATTATAAAATAGTTAAAATATCATTCGAGACCATTTTTTATCTATTGACAATGGCTTATATAAAGTCATATAAAGATTATTTTCAAGGAACCACTAAGTTATGATTATAATACATACTATATACAATATACATTATGGCATATTATATTTTAACCCAACCTGAAATTTCACTAGGTGCCACAATATATTTGTTACTCGATTAGGGCGTTCCGATTTCTGATTGAAATACTAAATTATTTTTGTTGGACTAACACTATTTAAGAGGATTACGCGCGTAATCCCTAGTCCCTACTATTAAATATTAACTATTGTATAATTGAAGTACCTACATAGTTATTTAGTAGGTAACTCATAAAAATACATATATATATTACATTATTACCTGTATGGCTGTATTTATGTATTAATTTTATACCATAAACATATTTTAAGATGACAATTTACATTTATGACATAAGTAGCTCTACATTGTTGGAAAAAGACAAATTATACTTGTATAGTAATATACTTAATAGGGTGTTCCTTAATTTTTGATTTCAAAATATTATTGGTCTCACCCCCTAAATCAGTGTGTATGCATATACACCTATGTACCTAGCTAAAATAAAAGTACACTATATAGTTTAGTGTTATATAATATTACCAATAATTTTCTTTAATTTATACTTTGGATTTGAATCATTCTGTATATTCTTAGAATAATGGCCTATACGGATATACCCAGGGTCATAAAATAATTCCCCTCATCATACATCCATGAGTATTTTGATCCCTACTTTTTCAGAGAGGGGTTATTTTATACAAGGGTGAAACATTACGATAGTAGGGTGTCCATGTAATTTTCATAAAACTGTACATAAATGTTCAGTTTACGCAATTTATTTTTGAAACGACTATTTTAACTATTGTTTAACAGATCATATAGTTTATATTGATTACGTTTATTGGTGTGACAGTGGGCAAAAGGGTATGCGTGAGTCGACTTATAAAGTCATAAATGATATCAATGAAATAAAATAAGTTTGTTTTATAATCGTAATACTTAACTAGTAGGTTACTTATAGGTTATAAGTACTATTTTTTTATTAGCACAATAGCACGTTATAAACAGACTTTTTTGACATTTATTTTATACACTCGAAATAATGTTGATATAATTTATCATTATTTAAACATCTCAAAATAAACAATAGTTATAATTATACAAATATAGTAAGTTAATAAAAAAACACATTTTCAATGTAAAGCAAATTTAAGTTATTATATTATAAAATACTGTTTTTATATATTATAATTTCCTTCAATTAAAGCCCGGGGGATCATATATTATTATTAATACATATTATATTCCTTTAATTAATCGAAAAACGATTATGTTGCATTATAATTTATAACGCTTACTAGAACTATCACATATTATGTGATACTATTGAGATTGAGTACCTATTGTATTAAGCAACTATCCTTATAAATAAAAGTTTAAATATTAATTAACTAATAAAAATAGTTACTTGTATAGGACTATAATACAAAAACCATAATATAATGAGTTTAAAATTAAACTAATGAATTAATCACGTTAATATAATACTAAAATAAGTCCGTAGACCGTGGGCACACTTACTTTTGTTTTGGAAGGTTTTCGACAGTTCTTTATTGTTGACAGCAGCACAATTGTTGTGTGTAACATTGAGAAACAATGAATTCCTATCCGGTTTTTTTTCGCCCTCGTTGTGTAAATTAATCTTCTTTAATTTAGGTATGTCGAATGGAAGCTCTTTCGGCTGTTCGCTTTTAGACCTGTCGGCCGGATGTTCGACGCCGGAACGAGCACTGTAAGCGTCTTCATCGCTGCCAATCTCGAAGTCCAACGAAATGACCCTCGCACAGCTGTCCATCTGCCTCTTTCTGAGCTTTGGCATGTCGAACGGCAACACCACACCACTGGGGTCGTAGGCGGCATTCGTCTGTCTTCTCCTCAATTTCGGCATGTCAAACGGAAGTCCTTGCGGCTGTGGTGGTGCTAGCACAGGACGTCCGGCGCAATCCGAAGACGACGATGACGACGACGATGTCGTTGACGACACCGTCGTCTGGCCCTCTTCGAATCTCTGCCTGCGCCTGAGCTTCGGCATGTCGAATGGCACGTCCAATAGCTCCTGATAGTTGTCACCTGGTTTCGATCCCACGGATATGCCACTGTCAGAACCGTGATGCTGCATATGGTCACTGTTGAGCTTTATCAGACCTATTGATTGGGGTGGCTTGGTCTTGATCGGCGCGACCGCTGCAGTGGTGGTTGCAGTGGCGTTGGCGGCCACGACGGCGACGGAGGCTGCTGAGCCTGCGGCAGATGACCTCCGGTGTTCGTAATCCAGAAACTCGGTGCCGGCGTCCTGCGACGACTTGTCCGAGATCGGCGACAGGACGTGCGGTACCGGAAACCGCTTGTAACATGGTGACTCGGAACTGTGTGAGCTCAACGAATCGCTGGTGATTGACTCTAGACTGAGACTGCTGCTGGTTACCACGCTGTCCGAACTACGGTACTTGTAAACACTATTGAATTGTCGGCCGCCACCGCCGCCGCCGCTGCGTCTCTTCCGCAACAGGAACCCGAACAACCGGTTTTTGCATTGCGTCCTGCAGGACGGCGAGGCGCGAACGGCAGCTGCGGTGGCGGCAGCGGTGGCGGCATCGTCGTCTTCGTCCTCGTCGTCGTATTGCCGAATGGAACTGGCGCTGGCCGACAGCTGCAACTGGTTGGACAGCCGGTGAGCGATGGCCGAGTCCTGTTTTTCGGCCGACAGCAGGTCCTCGTCCGACTTGCTGATTTTTGAATCAAACGCGGTCTCGTAGAACCGTCGGAATTTCTTAGACATTTTTCATTGCTGCGTCACGACGTGCGGCGGTAGAACGGCTTGAGGCCGGGGAGGCAGCATCTCGTTTCCCGAAATCGCGCCGAAAAACCGGCGACAGAGATGACGATGTCATGTATAGTTAACTGCGGGGGTCCGTGCGGCCGCGTGCTGCGACATGTATCTTAACTACAACAGTTGCGGACGGTATTTAATAAAAGTTGGTTTAATGTTTAATAGGTACGTATAAACACGCGCGCTGCTACACAACACCTGGTGGCCGGGCGACGACGGTTGCGACGCGCTACGGGGTAGTTACTGCACAGACGCGCGCGCGTGTTTTCGCGAGCCCATACACCCACCCGCGCGCGTGGAACGTGGGAAGAAGCTCACCGGAGCGGCAGGCGCGCGCGTCTCGCCAATCGATGCGCCGACGCCGACGCTGCCGCCGAAACGCCGTAATACGACAACGCGCCGCGATGACTCACGCTTTGGGAATTCAGCGCATTGATCCTCGCGGCGGCGTTAGGGGTTGGATACCATAGGATATAATATTATACATCATATATACCTATATATACACGCATACACCTACAGACCGCGCGAGACCGAACGTCGCCGTAACCGAAGTCGGGATATTCTCGGAGCGTAACAAAGCGGCTATGAGCTGCGCACGTCGCGTCTTTGTGTTATGTAGAAAATACTTTTGAAAGGTATTCCGTGTATTCTACGGTATAGCCTCAAAAATGAAATTGAGTATTGCTAAAATACTTTCGGATGTAAAAAAACACAAAATTATACATTTTAATAATATCCCATTTCATAAAATAAACCTATCTAAAACCGTTTGGTTATTTAAGATTCCGAGCTTACATATTATAATGAGAATGACGCCTGTATTTTACAATGATTTTTTTGGTCTGTCATCCGTGGCTCATCCCCTTTTGGAGCAATAAAAATACTTAGATTTTCTAATTCAGCATCTTTTCTGATACTATGGGGGTTTCTCGGCAGCTAGTCTTAAATAACAAAATTTACATTTTTTAGACAAAACCAGTTTTTGACAAAATCGATTTTGTTTTTTTGGAGTAACGCAAAAACAAATTACCGTAAATACTTGAAACGCCTACCAAATGTTTATATGACAATTTTCATGTATGATTATTAAACTAACTCGTTGTGAGCTATTTATAAGCAGGAATAATTTTTGATTTTTATTAATATATTTCAAAATTTTGTGGATAAAAAAAATTGAATATTTAGTAGGTACAAGCAATGTTGGGAATAGATAGCTAAAATATTATTTAGTTAAGATGATATAATTTTAGCAAAATATTATCTAGATAAAAATAAAGATAACATAAGTAGAATTTATTGAAATAAAGATGAATATAACAATACACTTATCTAGATAATAATCAGCATTTTTTTTTTAAAAACTTACTCAATATTTATTTGTTTTGTTGGATTTGTTTCAATATAATGGCATGACGAAATAATAATTATGATAATAACGGATTGCGAATTTTATTTTAACTATACCTACCGGCTACCTTAAATCTCTGATTTTTTTCTTATATGAGAGAATGAAACATAATAACTTTGACTTCACCAATACCGGTATAGTATACCACTATTCAAAATAGAATAGTACAACATTTTTAATTATAATATGGTCGAGGTCCAAAATAATTCCTTATTTATATGACATTTCGTTAGTCGTTTTTAATCATGTTTGGACGTCAATAGTCATTCACAAATCACAATAGTCACATTTCAGGCGCATATATGATATATCAAGTCGGTATCCTGTATGTATAGATATTTTCTTTACCAAATATGGTATCTAAGAATTTAATTTTGGTTTCTTTTCAAAATAGATGGGAACATAAACTTTAAAGGTTAATCAATTAAAATAAATACTATCTAAATAATATATAAAAAAAAAATGAGCCTAAATTCACAATAATTTTTTATGAACCTCTTAAGTTAGAATTTAGATTAATATATAAAATAAATGTCTATATCAACTAAATTTGTTTTTGTAAGTGGGGGGATGCTCCCTTAAGTGGCTTTTTCCCATTTGGAAATGCCACTGCACTGATGAACCTTTACACATCGCTGGCGAATATTGCACTATTGCAGTGATGTCGTTTCAAGTTAAGATCAAGACCGCCTGTATGGTGTTTCGACAAGATCCAAATAGCATAACCAAACTCGATGTGGCGGTGGCTTGTTTTGAATCAGAAACCAGTGCTGGGACAGACCCGGTTATATTGTGTAGACTTCGATCATTCTGGGACACAGCAATGAAATTCGTGAGGTGCATGTTTTGCTATTATTGATGGTGCACCTGAGCTGTAAAGATAAGTATACAGGGTGTTTCTCGTGTAATTGTATACACGTGGTATTTTAGTGATTATTTGAATCGATAATACGAAATTTAAAAAAAAAACAAAAAATATGTGTTTATAAATATTCGAATACCATTATTATTTATTACCTAAGCCATCTAAAAATAATCGACATCTATGATATAATGGTGAAAAAGAAACTGAATAAAAAAATGTATAGTAATCAATTAATTAAGATTATAATACTTATTTTATAATTGTATGTTAAAACAAAAGTAATGAACTAAGTTTGGCAACTATTTCTTGTAATTATTTATCTCTAAAATTGAATACATTTTTTTTTGTACATTGTGTAATATTATAATATTTTAGATTTTGAGCGGACCGATGATTTTACACTGATGTATGTGTTTTCATGTGTGTCTGTCATCGAAACACAGTACTTACATTGATTTTACATGATAGTGTGTGTTGTAATTTTTTATTTATTCTTTGTGTGTACCTACACGATTAGTAGATAGGCAAAATAATGCTTTGAACTTGAAATGATTTCAACATCAGCATCTTTTTTGGTGGCAAAGTGAATCTAATTGGTGCATTCGGGAGGTCAACATTTACAATTTCCAGCAGTTTGTAAAAGCGCCAGGAAAAACAAAAAAAAAATTAAAGAAAAGCGGGAATTTTTACACAAAATTAATTTTGATTTTTGTAGTACCTAATTTAAAAAAAAATAACAGTGGATGCATCGATGCATGAAATTTTCACTGAATGTTTTTGTGAGCATTTTATATACACTATAATTTATAAAATTTTCAAAACATTTTATTTTATGTTAAGCTAATTATAGACATATGCATTTTTCGATTTGTGTAATTATTTTTAAATGTAGATGAAAAAAATTTTATTCGTTCAAAAAACTTGGGATACAAGGTTCCTTAAACATTTTTCAACGTATATTCTCAATACTTATTATGAGCGTTTGATTTAGAATTTTAACGAAATTCGTAAAAATCAAGAAAAATTGCAAATTATTTTGAGTTAGAAATTCATAAACATTTTTCTTTTTGTATCTAAGTTTTTTAAATTTAATACAAGATTCCTTATAACTTATAAAGTAGACAAACTCGTAAGTTATAAAAAACGTCTAGCGGAAAGTCGAATAAAATTTTTGAGCGTTTGAAATTTTTACAACATTGGATATTCACTTGATTTCTTACCGTTCCCCTTTCGGCCAGTAGGTTTTTTTACTCACATTATTACCTTCAACTGTGTAAAAAAGTGGATATTATTCTTAGGTATAGGTACAATCCTTATTAATGGATTGGTTTAGTCTCGATGAAGGATTATATGAACAAAATAATACATTAATAAGTATTTAAGTATTAGAAAAATTAATTGGATTGCCGAAAATAATAAAAATGTAAAAAATAATCTATCATATACAAACAAAAATTAAATGCTGTCCGTAATAGTATAGGTGGTCTGCACACGATTTTTATGGAAAGATAAATTGAAAAAAAATTTGAAGAGATTTTCAAAACTGGCATTTTAAACTCTGCTCTCACAAGGGGTTTGAAATTTAAGATGGAAATCGAATGGTACTTCCCCCCCCCCCCCTAAAGTTTTAGGAAGAATGTATTTTTTTAGTTAATTATAACCACCACTATGGATGTTGATTTAATCCAAGATAATAGACTGAAAAACTACTAGATCATGGCATTTTTGGTAGGTAATAGTTATATTAATATATTCATTGAAACATTGAGTGTTTATACTTTTATAGCTAATTTTTTCAACCCTCATAAAGGGTAATCACATAAAGGTTAGATTAGGTTAGGTTTGCTAGCTCACAGTCTCACATATGAATTTTTTATCAGCTCAAGAAAAAAGGGAATTTTTTTGATTCTTTAAATGTGCCATGAGTTACATATTAATTACTTGGATAATATTACTATTATAATTTATAATTAGTAGAAATATGGCATATTATAATTTTTTTTACAAATACGTATTAATACGCACCTATATAAATTATATGTATAAAACAAATTTGCATAGGCAATACCGAGTAGAATAGCTACATATTAAAGAGATTTATCTTTAGGTTATGATAAAAATTAAACGCTGTAAATCAATTAATAAAACATAATTTTATAAATCTATAAAACATTTCAAAATAAATGATACTATATTTTAGAATATTTTCAGTTTCTAATTTGCACTGACTGCTTATTGATAGTTTTATGACACATATTTATATTATTTCTCCAATTGTATTAGCTATTCTTTCTTATTTATATACAAGTATAGTTTAAATGTTACATAATATACAATTAAAAAAAATCTACACTTAAAATTATTAATCGTCATCAGATTTTAATGAAATTGTATAACCTGTAACAAAAATAATAACAAAATTAATCATCAATAAATCAAACATTTTATAAACAAAAAGTTAACCTGAACTGGAATCATCGTCATTTTCTGATGGAGGAACAGTTTTTGTAGTAGAAGCTTGAGATAAAATATTAATTGGCAGATTATCAGTGCTTGGCTCTAAAAGTTCTGTTGACCTCAACAATGTGTCATTTTTATTGAACCAAAAATTAACTTTAGTCGCATAGTCACAATCAGAATCGTCATTGGCATCAACATTCTCATCTTCATTCTCCCATTCAGATAAGTCATCTATATCCCATGGGGATAATATTATTGGAGCGAGGTGGTCTACGTACGATGACATTTTTTCTTTTGACAAACTCCAAAAATTATCTTTTTTAACATTAATTTCTTCATGTTTGTCTGGTGTATCTAATTGCCATAGGTTACTCATATTAAACTTATATGAATAATTTAGCTTTGGAACAGTTTGAGGTTTAATTGTAACTTTTTTATTAAATTCAGTCACATCTATTGGTGTACTATCATTTACCTTTTGAACAAATAAGTCTCCAACAGAATTAATACTAAATAGTTTTAAATCTTTAATATGTTCACCAAAAATAGTAGTACCAGTTAAACACCGTGAAAATCTATCTAATAATTTTGGATTTAAGCAATATCCTTTAAGTCGTACATTATGTAATGATTGTAATGGGTTTGGAATTGATGATGCAATGCTTTGACACGATAAAAAGCTATCTGGATATGAAGTATATGGTAAATAAACAAGGCTTTCACCAGTTTGGTTTCCCAAAAACAACATTTCATTTGAATCAAAACTAAAAATGAATTTAAATTTAAATAATTAATATATAATACATAGATGTACTCAGTTTTAAATATTTACTTGTTTTCATAACGATGTATGTTAATTAGGGATGGAGGATTTGAAAGCATGTGATATGATTTGCTTACGAATCCCATTCGATTGTCAAATGTCAAAACCGAATGGTTGGAAGCTACATAAATACTATGACTATTTAAATGACTACTTTTTAATGTTGTTAATTCTTCACATGGTTCTAAAATAGTAGTTGGGTCATAAGTAGAGCAAGGCTTAGAAATATCAATCTGAAAAGAAAATAATATTAAAAACAATAAAAATTACATACATTCTTCAGGGCTCGAAACAGTTGCAAATTTTCTGGTTTTAATTTAGATTTTGTGAACAGTTTTTTTAAGTTTTTAGGTTTCAGTTATGGTTTTTACTACTAGGATTTTAATTAAAAAAATTGAAACATAATATTCTTGTAATTATAGAATTGTAAATATTGTTATTTATTTATACAATTGGAAGTTAACAATACTAAGAGAATGTCAGAGCACTAATTATTTTTTTCTCCGACGTTTACGCAACACAGCAAAATTAAGTTTAAAAGAAACAACATTATTTTTAATATTGGAATGAAGTAATCTATAAAAAAACTTTAAGCTAAGAACATTACCTGTGTAGCTGTGTCTCTATGTTGGTTATTTTATATTTTTATTTAAGTTATGAGCGTGTAAATTATTACAATTTAAGGACACAGGTAATGTTTTTAGCTCAAAGTTTGATAATAAATAAATTCACTAAAATATTAAAAGTAACAATTCAGGGTTGGTTCTATTAAATTTAAATTTCCTTTGTTGATCTTGGGTCAGAGAGAAACAAATAGTCTGACATCCTCTTAATATGAGCAGGTCAGTTTTTTAAATACTAAAGTTTTTAACACGTGGTTGAGAGCTTTTGGTTTTGGTTGCGGTTACAATGTTGAAAAATGAAGAAACCAAGGTTTGAACCAGTTTTATTGAAAACAATTTTTGAGCCCCGATATTATGTATTTTTAAGCTCAGTACTTTTTTTAAACTATAAATTATACATTACCCGGGCATCTATTAAGTAGAGTTTTTGTCTATTGATAATGCCAATTAAATTAGATTCTTTTTGTAAGTAACTTAAATGTATAAATGAATCAGTTTGATCATACACCACATCAAAATATTTATTTTGAATACAATTTCTTGAAAAAATAATTAAAATATTTTTTTATTGATTATTATTTATTTTATGTTTTACTACAATTGGAAATATTATTAAAACATATTTACCCGTTTTTCCATAATTTAATAATATGTTTCACATCAGCAGAACAAAAATTGTTGGTTATTATATCAGCATCAGCAAATGGTATATCACAATTATCATAAATTGAATTGTTATTTAATAAATGTTCTGAATCAGAATTATTCCAAAATATAGATAATTTGGTCTTTTGTCGAATCATTAATTCTAAAGAAGTAAAATTGAATACACAAACATTTATAATTAATAATTTCACTTAAAATACTCGTAAGTTAAATTAATTAAAATAGTTGAGATCAATGATAATTGAAACTTATTAAAATAGTAAAAAGCGATAAAATATTACCTTTTAAATTTGAAGATTTTATATCAAAAATTGTATCCTTAAGACATTTGTCTTTTTTACTTTGAATTATTTCAAATGTATTATTATCAATTGATATTATATCTAAAACAGTAAAATTAATGCTTAAGGAAAAAACAATAAAAGTTTGATATTAACATTAACAAATCTAAGTAAAAAAACCATTCAAAGAAAAAATAATACCTGTAAATAAAAAGAAATATTAATATTGCCCTTACCCATACCCACATTGTTATGGGTTATAACTGCACACACACATAATTACCTAAAATATCAAGGTTTACTCCTCTGGCACAAGCTAACAACCATTTTCCATTAATTTGAAATTTTTCAATTGTATTGCTAAAATACCAATTATATTCCTAAATTAAATAAATAGGAAATTAAAAATTAAAAAACATTTTAGAAGAAAAGTGTCATGAAATACAGTAAAATTATTTTTGGAACTTTGTTTTTTTACTGGAAGCTTATTTTTTTTTTAAACTTAAGTAGTAAGGTAAACAAAAACGATGGTGAAGTCAAAATTTGGTGGTCGGATTTGGTTTCGAAGTTATGGCCTAATGAAGTTTACTATTTTGAAATTTGTATGTATTAACACGAAACTCTAGCTAAACGTTTACAACAAATAATGATTGTTTAAAAAGCTTATGTACTTATCCGGCTAACTTATCGACCTCTTGTAACCTAGCCAGTTACGGTGCGAAAAGACTAGTGGTATAGACATAGTGATTAAAGTCTATTGTGGCTCCCTATGCCTGCTGACTGCTTTCGACAACCCGCCAAATTTTGACTTCATCATCGTTTTCAGTATACCTTACTACATAAGTTTAAAAAAGAAAAGTAACAAAATACCTTATTTTTGTTGTTACAATAATTTACTATGTTAAGATGAGTTAAGGTTCCCACACACTGCATCGGTAGTGGTGGCAGTGAAATGAGTCCAGACACAATTTACCTTGGCACCGCCACGACAAAATAATTTTATCGCTACCGCTGCAGTGTGTAGGTAACTTTAAAATTATTACTTACAGAATCAAAATATTGATCAGGGTTTTCTATCAAATTTGATGTAAAACGAGTCAAGACATACGGAATTGTTGAATACATTTTTGATTCATTTGTATTTAATGATGTTTTTAAGCCATTTAAAGTATTAAAGCTTACTGAAAAAAATTAAATGAATCACTTTTGTAAGAATTATTAATTTCAATAACGTATTAACCAATGATAATACATTTTTTTTTACATAATCCTAATAATTTTTCATTTTCATGTTTCCATTGTACTTTTAAATTGATCATATCCAAAACTGCATTAATTCCTGCAATTATAAAAACTATATATACCTAGTTATAAATTATACTCCAACTGGTAGTTGTATTTATAACTGAATTAAATAAATATTACTCAATTCTATGTCTGAAAATGTAATACATGGTACAGGTAGGTTGAAACGATCAGGTGCAGAATAATTCTGAATAGCTTCATTGCTGTTTTTGATGGTACTCAGCAAATACGTATTTAAGCCTGGCAAATAATAATGTGGTATTTGAGATAAAATGTTCTTTGAACCTTTTTTTTGATCCCCATCGACTGGATGTACAGTTATATGATTTCGAGACATGATTTTAAAAATCTAAAGTGATGTATAAACAAAATTAACTTAATATGCCTATTTAAAGTATACCATAAATACTTTTGTTATTAAGTTGATTGTTTTCAATTCATCAACATAGTTAACATAAGTATGTACCAAAATATAAAAGAAAACAGTGAAAGTTGACAAAAAAATACTGACTTTTAAAAACCAATGACTATTTAATTTTCACTTCTTCCACAAAACTGCAGTCATAATATTATATTTCATCCTGCATGGAATGTTTTGTTAAACACTGAACTAAATTTACCCATGATAAAAATAACTAGTTATTTCAATCATGAATTTACCTATTTACTATTTTATTCAATGATATTTGATAAATGTGATAAATTTAATATATTGGATAATATTGACTAATTTCGGAAAACTGATTAGTCATTAAAGTTTATTTAAATTAAGTTTATTTAAGGCCGATCTAAGATTTTATTAAATAAAAAATTCGAATTTCTGTTATCATTTATCAGTGTTAAACAATTTGCCGCCATAACACAGAATAGGTTTTATATTTATCACAGATATTGATACTGTGGTATCACAGAATAGGTGAAAACCACAGACTTCTATACTATAGACACGATTTAAGATAGTACTATCTTAAATCGTGACTATAGATTAAGTCTGTGGTGAAAACAGAATGGATCTTCGCAGGAAAAATCCCAAAAGAATCCAACATGGCGTCAAATCGCTTATCACATTTATCACTACATATTTATCACACGGTTATCAGTTTATCACTGATTACGAAGTATACCGCCTTTTTCCATTTCGTGATTTATTTAAATTTATTTAAGCGTTCAAAAAAAAAGTTTAAAAATGTAATACAAACTAACCAGTTATTTAGAGATTATTTCACAGACTAGTTTTTCAATACCATTGTAATAATAATACAACTAAGTTTATCAAAATTGTATTATTTATTATTATAAGATGAAGCGTATTAAGCAAAACTATAAGGGGGGTTATTCCATCACATTAAATAACAAATAACCAGTTATTTAGAGATTATTTCACAGACTAGTTTTTCAATACCAGTGTTATAATAATACAACTAAGTTCCCAGTTATAATTATTATTATTTATGATTAATATTACAATACAATATTAGAGAAATGAGTTCCAGAGATTGTGTTCTATGTAATACTACATTTTCAACTGTATCTAATTTGAATAAACATTTAAAAAGAAAACATACAGAGCTTTTACCACAGATACATATTATAATATCAAGTTTTATAAATGTTAGGCCATAATTAAACACAAAATTTTTATTTTAAAAATTCTTATTTTGATTTATTTTATAAATAATATGTCTGAATGTATCATCTTGTATTTTGTGGAAGGTTAATCGCATACAGAAAAATGGTTATACTTGCGACAACTGCAATCAAAAATTTAATTCAAAAAAAAGTATTATTAAACATCTTAAACAGGAACATAGTGAACTAAAAATTAAATGCTCAGTTGAGAATTGTAACAGATCTTATAAAACATTAAAATGTTTTTCCAAGCATTTAAAAAATGATCACAACATTGACATCAATATAGAATCACTAAGTTTCAATACTATAGAAGGTATCTTGATTTATTAAAAATTTTACAAATAGATAATAACCAATAATTAAAATTAAAATTGTCAAAACAATTATTTGGTTTAGAATTTAAGAAATGGAAAACCAATATTGAAGACACTAAAATCTGTCAATATGTTCAAAGAACATCTACTAAAACTCACCATAATGTGGAATACACGTATTATATTTGTCATCGGTCATACCATCCAAGATTAGCTAGCAAGGTAATAACACTTTATCTATTTGAAATAAATAACCTATAAAGTAAAATTATATTATTAAAATATGAGATACGTTTTATACTTAAGGGTCAAAGGAATCCTAAAAGTAGTGGTTCGGTTAAAATTGGAAAGGTTTGTCCATCATATATTAGAGTACACAAAAATGGAGCCCAATTTCAGATAGAATTTTGTAGTACTCATTTATTTCATGATAATGAAATAGGGAAACAAAGATTACATACTGAAGACAGATACCAATTAGCAGGTACTCATATAATAAAATGCAAAAAATATGCTTAATTTACTTTTGTAGTCACATTAAAAATTAAAAATTAAAAAGTAATAGGATAAATACCTTTTTATTTAAAGCTTATCCTAAAAGTAAATAATCATAGTTTAAAAATATTTATGTTTACATTTTTTTTAGGCAAACTAGGTATGGGTGTAACAGTACAACGAGTCTTAAATGACGTTCGAAATTCTGCTACTATAACTGATTTTAAAAGAATCCATTTATTAGAAAAACGAGATATACATAATATTAGACGTGATTTTAAAATTGATAATTATTCTACAAAGATGCATGAAAATGATTTTGTTAGTGTTTACCTGTGGGTAGAGCAAATCAAAGAAAAAAGTGAGACAAATCCAGTGTTATATTTTAAGCATCAAGGAGAAGATTCCACAACACATTTGACTCGGGATGATTTTTGTTTAATTTTAATGACTGAATACCAAGCTGAAATGTTAAAAAAATTTGGATGTGATAAAATATGTGTAGATGGAACACACGGTTTAAATAGTTATAACTTTCAGTTGTATACTTTACTTGTAGTAGACAATTATGGAAATGGCTTCCCTGTTGCATTCTGTTTTACAAATAAATCAGATACATCTACATATAAATTATTTTTTGAATGTATCCAGCGTGCAGTAGGACTTATCAAAGCCAATGTATTTATGTCCGACGATGAACCTGCATTTTATAATGCATGGCAATCTATTATGGGTCCGGTTTCTAAGCAACTATTATGTACTTGGCACGTATTAAGAAATTGGAGTAAAAACCTTTCCAAAATTCACTCACAAGAAAAGAAATCTATGGTTTATAAAACATTAAAATCTTTAATGCATGAAACTGATAAAAACAAATTTTATATAGAAATAACAAAGGTCATTGAAGATTTAAAAAATGATACAGATACTGCAGATTTTGGTCAATATTTTGCGAGCAATTATTCTTCAAGAGTTGAAAAATGGGCATTTTTCAATCGCAGACATGTTGGTATCAACACGAATATGTATTTGGAAGCTCTTCATAAAAATATTAAATATTGCTATCTAGAAGGAAAGCAATGCAGAAGACTCGATTTAGCCATTAATGCAGTAATGTTGTTAGTGCGAGATAAATGTTTTGAAAGGATCATTAAGATTTCAAAACAAAAAAGGTCATCCAAGATATTACAAATTATCACCAGTCATAATAAAAGTGCTTATATTAAGTCGGATATGATTTTAAAAGTTAATAGCTGCACATGGATGGTTAATTCACAAACTGATCCTAAAACAAAATATATTATTGAAAAAATTAATTTACCTTGCAATGGCTGTGTTTTATGTTGTGAATATTGTAAAATTTGTGTTCACATATTTAAATGTTCGTGTATGGACAATATTATATACTTGAATATCTGTAAGCATATCCATGCGATCGCCAAAGTAGATGTTATAGTAGTTCAACCATCATCTAATGTAAATACATATAATACAGATGAAAATGGTAAACTGAAAAGAGAAATTTCAAATAATACAGAGACAAATATTACAGATTTATACAAGGAAATAAATAAAAAAATGGAAGCAATGTTAGGCATGCACAGCAGAGCAACATTAAGTATTGAAAGCCAACAAAACATTTTAAAGCATTGTGATAAAATACTTACTATAATTTCAAAAGAAACGAACAAATCAAGTGATAATGTACCTACTAAAACTACAAATATAAAACACATAGAAAAGCAAACCAGATTTTATTCAAATAATAGAAAAAAACCAAACATTAATCTACCTCTTTCTTCACTTGAAAGCAATTTAATTAGGGATTCATTGAATAATTCAAATGGTGAAGTATTAAATGTTCATTCATCTAATGATCATTCGTATTTTTAAGGTGAATTTTTTGACATGGACAAAGAGTCTGAAAAACGTGTATTTTGTATTATAAATTATTATTGAATTATTGTGTAATTTTTATTTGTAATTAACCTAAGATTTATTTTATTATTTTAATTATTTTATGATAACCTTAGTTTGTGATGACACAGTGATGATAACCAATAAATTATCTATTACCATAGTGATAAGAGTAACGTCGCCATGTTGGATTCTTTTGGAATTTTTCCTGCGATGATCCATTCGTCTTTTCTCTCATGATATTCTTTGTTGATACGTGATATTGTGATAAATTTTAGCGCCAAAATTCCATTCTTCAGAGATAAATAATGTCGACTGTAGTCTGTAGATGATAGTTATGAAATTAAAATATTTCATCAGGTACATCAGGTACATCAGGTATCATATACCTCCACTACATAGATTCTATAACCATTGACAACTTACACATACAGCATTCAAGTATTGCAAACAAGTAGGTATTTAGCATATTATATAGTAATATGTATGTCTTATTTTATGGTTTAAATGGTATTGTGTATCCCAATTTAAGATGATATAATTTTTATTATTAGATATATCTATAATTATTTATCATTTGACATAATAGTATACTAAAAGTAGACTTTTAAAATATAGGATACCTAAGGTACAAACTACAAACTATACACAATACTGAATGTAGATTGAAACCTAAAGCATATTGTCGACAGACTAATTCAAAAAAATGTTTGTATGATTTTTTTATTACATGTAAGTACCCATTACATTTATTTAAAAGATATTAATTTTTAAATTAAAAACTGTTTATGTTCTATTAGATCTTATAATAAGATTTCATAATGTGGAACGGTATAACAATTGGTTATAGTTCAGCTGACGAGACTATAAATTTTGGTACTCGTGCTGTAGCTATTGGCGACAGCAGAATATTTGAAACAACCACTTTGGCCACGATAAAAAGAACATGTGATGTAAAATGTGTATCCAAAGAAGACCTTAGAATCAGTGCTATGTGCACACCAGATTTAATGTACATTTCAGGAGGCCAATCATACACCTCATTTAATACTAGTATTACAGAAATCAATCAGACATTTGGATTTCCTGATCAAATAGTGGATGCTAAAATATCAGATGATGGATATTACTTAATAGTGTTATTATATGATTGGACTATATACTGTTGTTCATTTACAAACCCAAGGATTCTATTTATCAAGTACATATTATTATATTAATATTTATATCCAAGTATAAAAATTAATAATAAACAAACTAATAAATTTACATAACTAAAGTAAAATAATATTTTTTTTTGTAAAAATTATTTATGTATAACAATAAGATTAGAAGTTACCATTAAAAAAAAAATTGTTTAGATTTAAATGTATAATATGTAATATCTATGGATAAGAAAACTTCAATTTTCTTAAAACTAAATACATTTTAAGCCTTAAGCTGTTTGAATTCAAATTGAACTGAGTCTTATTCAAACTCAACATTTTTTATTTTTTCAAACCAAACAGTTTCATGATTACCGATAACAGGATTAATAGATATTAATGATCAATTGTATTTATCTACAATTGAAAAAGATACAAGTAATGAAAAAAGGAAAAATAAAAATTTTGTCAATCAAGTTGCATAATTTGTTTACTTACTAAATATGGTAAAAGTTTATTAGAATTTATTTCATGTCTCTATACATGTATTGATGGTAAATACTTAGTAGGTGTTACATTAAATAAAATATAACTAAAATATAATATTATAAACAAAAAAAAGTTCTTATTTGTATAGGTATAAAAAAAATTGTATGTATAATTTACAATCTTTCAGAAATTAAAATTCTTATTAATGATTATAATATATTTTACTATGTCATTTTAATTACAGGAAAGTATCACAAAATCCTCGTTGCTTGCCCTCGGAAATGGAATCACCTGTTGGACTCTTCTTCTCTCATAAAGAGAACCATTTCTATATTACAGTTATCACGTCATCTGGATTTATAAATAAGTATGCAATAAATAGATTGAAGAAACATTTTTAAGTTTTTACTTTTTTAAATTTCCTTTATAATCATATTAAATAAATTATAAATTTTAATTATTTTAAGATTTATTTGTGGCAATGTCACGGAATTAATAGAAAAATCTGTTCTTGATAATGATTTTAAAACCATAGAAAATCTTATAACTTTGAATACATTTGATATCCATGAAGATGTAAGTTGAGGTAATAAATATTTTATGCGCATTTAATAACTCAATTTGTTTAACTCAAATAGGTAAAAACAGTGTGTGGAATGTATGATAATATTTTAATAGCTGGCGACAGTATTTGTCTATATGAAGGAGAAAACATGAGGTCTAAGGAATTTTTATTCCCAGACAACTGTAAAATTAAAAAACTTGTTTTAACTCAAGATAAAAGGTAAGTAAAACCATTTGACTATTTGTTAAATATAATCCTTTTTTAATTTATAATTCCTTTTCAAATCTCCATTGATAAAGTTTGATTTTTGAAAATGTATAAAGCATGGCTTATACATAAATTAATTAAAAAATTAAAAAGTCTTAATATTGTATTTAGTCAACAAAAATTAGTATTATGAATTAGTTTCTTTGCAGTATTTATTAACAATATAATTTTATATGGTTCTGTTTTTTTAAGCTTGTCAATTTATTAATATTGTTAAAATATATTATTACAGTTTCATCATCTGCCTAACTGATTCAAAAACTATGTTATTGGTATGTGCATTTACATTTTTACCAGTTAAAGAATGGAATAAGGTGCCGATTTGTGATTTTACTGTGATGGAAGAAATGGGTACTACAAGTATTCTTCTATTAACTGACGAAATACAGCCTTCATTAATGCTAGTTTCAATGCCTGGTAATTTTATATTGACTAATAATTTTTAGGAACTTAAGTGTTTTTTCTTAAAACATAATGAAAGTGTGAACAGTTTTGGTTTTATATTACATATCATGTGTAAAAAAATCATATTTAATTTATTCATAATAAAATGCTCCAACCATAATAGTTGCAAACAAATGATGATTTTCAAAATTGCTATAAACATATTTATCTTTACTGAAGTCACGAAGAAATCTAGCTATAGACATTATTCCTTGACATTTTTTCTCTCCAATTTCAACTATACAAACAATTTTATACCTGAAACAAAAACTTAAATAATTTTTGTTGTTATTGTAACTACTTAGATTAGGTATACAATTTATTTGCTGTATTTCACACTGTTTTTAAATTCATTCAAATTTTTCACACAAAAACATGTCTTTGTGCTTGTTACATGTTATTTGATTCTGATGGATTTTTCTTCAGAGAAAGGGTGTCCAGTAAGGTAATAGAGTTCAGTGATCTCCTACTATTTATAGTTTATTCAATAAATAAATTAGCTATTTTTATTGAATAAACACATTTTATTTTTTGGTACCATAGTAACAATAATACAACAATATTATGCTTGAAAAAATGACCTGACCAAAGATTCAAAAAGACTAGATTTTCATTTGAGAGGTCAATTTAGTTGAAATACTATTAAAAAATCATTGCTGTAAAACTAATAAATATCTGTCTTAGCTTATTACTTGTAATATTATTTTTAAATTAACGCCATACATAGTAGCGCAATTCTGGCTAAAATGTTGTGGGGTCAAAACCCGATATTACATAAAAAGTAACTCGGAAGCTCTGACAAGTGGGTACCGCAATATTGAACAGTAGTTGTCGAGTATGTCATTTTAATAGATGTGTTGTATTGAATTCAATGATAAACTATTGCATAAAAAAACGATTCTGAGCAGAGACGTCGTGTTATCCTAGTATACATGGGTTTCATTTAATAATTAAATCTCGCTGAATATTAAATATCTTAAAAATTTTAAACTTTAAACACTTATAAAAAAATTAGATGGAATAATAATATGTATTTATTTTTTTTGAAAATTTCAAGCGTTTACGATCATAAGTTTTTGAGATACACCAAAAAAATGAAGTCAATTTTTTTCAAATATTGGGTTTGCCTAAAAAATAAAGATTCCCATTATTCATTCATTTTTTGTTTTGATTTTTACAACGCTTTCAAAATAAAATAAGAAATACGACTGAAATTTAATAAGCTTATTAATATTTTAGAAAACAATTGAATAATTAATTTTTTTAGGGAGGGGGGCTAAGCCAAGGCCAATACTTTGATTTCTATATATCTATATAGAGGTTATACATATTTTTTAAAAACTAAATCATTTTACCTTTCAAAATCCAAGTCATAAATTTCATCTCTAATACTATGAGACATGGTTGCAGAGATTCTTGTTGCTTCATCTGGGTCATATCTAGTTTCATTGTTCAAATGTTTCATTATTTCATTTTTGATAACAGCCAAAGCTTTATTTTCATTGAATGGATTTTTCGATTCCAATCTATATGTATTCTGATATTTAACAAGTTTATCTTGTGAAGATAATTCATTTTCAGTTTTATTAGTTAAAACATCATATACATCTTTTATTAATGTATCCATGTTCAAATATTCCTTAATGGTATAATATGTCTTGAATTTCAAAGTAATAAGTATTGATCTAACATGCACCCATATATATGTTTATAAACACAAGTTCAATGTACAATAACAATTAAGTAGTAAAGTATCTGTATGTGCATATTGTTCAGTATATTATATCTAGCCCGAATTTATAAAACAGAAAAAAAGTTACTTTAATTAGATTTAAAAAAAGAGTTGGAAAAAATAAGCAAAATAAGCAATTTAAAAATATGAAAAAATAATTGTTGAAAATTTGTTAAAACAAAGCTTTATTTATTGCATAAAAAATATAATATTAGTTTAGGACATTTTTTAAAAGTTAGACAACATGTAGATTGTAGGTTTAATAAACTCATATTTTTGTTTTGTTATCCTTTGGTAACAAGGCACAAACTCAATTGTTCTAAAATTCTAATATTAAATATTTTGATTTCAATACAAACATTTTTCATGCACATTTGTAGGACATAGGGTAGTTTAATAAATTCACCCATAGTTATTAAGTATGACAATAGATGTGATTCCTTGATAATATTATTGTTTTCTGAAACAGTTAATGACATCAGATTTTTACATCACAATTAAGAAAAAAGCTCAGGATCAAAATCGTCATAATATTATTAATGGTACTTTTTAGTTATGATGTATCTTTTATAATTATTCATTTAAAAAAATTATGTTGAATCCAATTATGTATGTCTAGCCTAAACTATATATTTTTTTAAAGTAATAAATGATAATTTCAAGAAGAATTAGTCCGCTAAAATCCTACCTTTTAAACACCCTTTAGCATCTATAATAATAAGTTATTACCCATAACTAGTATGTTAATTTAAAACTAAAATATATGTTTGTTTATAATAGATTTTTGTGTAACATTCAAGCTTCCAACATCATCATTAACATATCTTATTGACTATCCAAGTACATCTGATGGCATATTGTATTTGGAAGCACACGGAGACGAAGATATAAACACATTGCATGTAAAACTTATATCTGAAGGTCAACCCGACTTACGCTTGGCAAGAATGTTAAGACGAGGTAAATATGATGAAGCTCGAAATTTTGCAGCTGCTTTTAATCTTGATCCAGAAACAGTATATAAAGAACAAGTAAAAGGACTTATGAGAAAATTAGATGTATGGCAGCCTGGAACCAAAGGCATCCAAGAAACATTTGATGAAATGATGGATTACTTAAATAAAATTAAAGTAAATTTTCGAATCATACATATTCAAAATAATATCATAACTAATTTAAAGGTAATTGTTTTGTCTAGGATCACACATTTGTTGGCAACTGTGCTCTGAACATAATTGTACCTAGTTTTACCTTATGTAGAAAACTTTTAAGGTATGCATTATTAAGAGTAAAGTCCTCATCAGAAGGATTAGAAAATAAGTTAACATTTTTACTTGATCAACTGCAAAGCACACTTCATAAATTGGATACTTTTTGCCTTTTACATGACGTATCTGATTGGTCGATTGAAAATACGGAACTATGGCTTTCTTTTTGTAAACAAAATGTCAATGACATTTGTTTGGACCTTATACAAAAAGTAAATATTTAAATTATTTTTTTTCTGTTTTATCAACATTTGGGATAGTAAAAATTCACCGATTCTCAAAATCAGCATCTTTTCTGATAGAAAAGTAAATCTTTTTAGTTTATGTATAAAGTTGGTACTTTTGAGAGGTCAAAATTGAAACTTCCCTGTAATGTTTGAAAGTGACTTGAAAAACATGAAAAAGTAAAAAAAAAAGTAATTTTTAAGCTAAGTCAATTTTTGATAAAATTAATTTTATTTTTTTTTTGTGTAACTAAAAACCTAATAACTGTTTTCACCAAATATTTATTATTTTTGAGCTATTTTAAAGCCTTGAGAAACTTTTCAAATTTTGTAAATTTTTCAAATTATTGTGGATAAAAACTTTTTCGCTGAGTATAAACAGCTTGAAAAATTAATGGAAGTTCAAAAATATTTAAGATACCTAGGCACAACTATTTTTTTAGCATTTAAAGTTAAAATTTTTTCTTTTCATAGCTAACATTAAAAATTTTTATAGTAGATTCCTAATAAGTTTTTTTTCTTCTATCAGAAAAAATGTTTAATGGACAATTATGTTATTTATGAAATATTTTTGATTTCTATAATTTACTTTTTAATTATTGAATTTGATTATTTATACTTGTATGCTATAATGAATCAACGTCTCTACTCAGAATTGTTTTTCAAATGTAATGATTTATCATTAAATTCAAATAGAAGAACATTCATTACAATGACATGCTCGACAACTATAGTACATCGTGTGGTACCTTCTTGTCCCCTTTTTTAAAGTTAAAAATATTTTAGTGCCTTCTATGTAGTAATATTTTTTTTTTATCATTTATTATTAAAACACACAATCTGTAGGTATTATTATACAATAAGCGTATATGATGGAGGTGATATGGCTTTGAGTGGTATGCAATAAGAAGCCCATTGGAGGCACTTAAGGTTATATAGTAATAATTAACTCATGAATTATATTTAAGTTAAGTAAATATTTTATAATATTATATTTACTGTAATTTTAGAGATTTATAACTTTTACTTGTTGGGTATACCAATAAATAATGATAAATCAAGTTTTAAAAAGTAATTGATTAATTTTTTTGTTTTTTGTTTTTGTAGAATCAGTTAAGTGATGCATTAACAGTTTGGAGTCGCCATATTACAGAAATTAAATATTGCATTAATGATGAATTTATAAATGAATATTTTTCATGCACACCGTTTTCTGTAGATATTTATGATTTAAAATTATGGGTTAAGAGTTTTGCTTCTACAACTCTTTTTATGTATTATGATGAAACAGTTGCTTCTATGGTTTCTTATATAGAAAGTAAAGTTAGGTATGTATAATATACTTATAACTATTTTAGTTATATTTTGAATTTAATTTTTACATTTGATTTTACATATTTTTTAGATGGAATGAGTTGTATTTACATTTAGATTGGATCAATCCTAGCTTAGAAATTTGTCGTTATTTTCTAAATATTATAAATCAAATTGTTTCATCTCCTTTATGTCTCAGTATTTCAAGACCAGCCAAACCTCAAATTAAATTAATCTTACTGATAAAATACTTAGCTGAATTAAAGGAGTTGAATGATAATTTTGGCGTTAAGATTACTTTGGATGATTATGAACTATCTCACGAAGACAAAAATTATTCAGAGTTGTCATTCTTAATTTTAGATCAAATTCAAATGAATACATTCTCTAATTTTATTACAACATTTTGGTCAACATTTACACTACAAAGATTCTTAAATTCTGATGAAATTTTATCTTCTTATATCAAAGTAAAAATAATTTTTTTTTTTAAATTACCTTCTATGTTAAAATCAAACCTATTGAACTACAGTCTCCAATCATTTTTAATTTATATTTTAGAATATTGTTAGTCAAGTTGATTGTTGGTGGTCATGGGAAGACAAAGCAACTTTGATACTTAATTTCATATCTAACAAAGAGGTAATATTCTTAAAATAAAAAATAAAGAATAAAAATAATTTCAAATTATGTTTACAGACCAAATCTGATTCAGCCTTAAGCATTTTGAAAGCAGCTAGTATACCTTGGTCCGAACTTATGGTAAAACTTTGTGATGAAACACTTCAGACTGATTTAAATACTGCAGCTATTAAAGATATAATTGAAGTGAAGAGTTTACTTACTAGTAAATTGATATTAAAGAGTTATAATTTTTCATTTATAAATATAACACCAAGTATAGTAAGTATTTGAATATGTGATCAATTTTTTTCAAAATTTAATTATAATTCATTTCCAATTTCAGATTATTATTGCAGTTCAAAATATTTGTTCCCAAAATCGCTCAACTGTACTAGAAGATATAGTTAAATTGATTAGTACACAGTCTGTCACTGTTCAACGAGAAGCATATGAGATTTATATTCAATATTTGATTGAATCTGGGTGTGTAAATTAATTGTTATTGTTATTTATTCATTCTTATAGTATGTATTAATAACTTAGGTTATTAGCCTAATACACACAAAATTATTATATAATTGTATATTATATTAACATATTTAAATTTAACTGTACATTTGGTTGGCCTTAAAAATATCAAAATATTTTAGCAATTATTTTGACCTCCAACTCAAGAGCTATTAGCTATTGCGATAATTCGATTATTTTGTACATGGCTGGGAGTTATTCTGAAACTTAGTGTACAACACTGAGAATATTACCATGATGTTATTATGTTGAGGCCGGGAGTGTAAAATATTGTATTATAAAATTTGTGTGTTATGTAATGTGTGCGTATGTGTGTGGCCGGCTTGTGGTAATTGTGAAACAGTATAATTATAAATTGTCGATTGTACCGTTATCGGCATTGCCATAGAGTGTGATCAAGATCTAGCAATAAGTATAGCCTGTAAAATGTTTCGTTTTGAATTCATTAGCGTTTTGACAACTAACAATAAAGATAACATAATATAAATTATAAGAATAAAACCAAAATTGGTTGATAGTTGTTCGACATGTTGGTAGGTGGGAATTATAGGTATTTGTAATTTAAGCTCATAACTTCTCATAATTGTATTCATAACTTATTACTTCCTATGTCAACTGAATTCCAGTAGCTACAAGACAGATGCATGTACTGATGTATCTGCATGCAATATGGATACTCTTTGGTTTACGATTATTTTTTTAGCTTTGGCATGGTTTTGATTTTTGACAGTTTATGAGAAAGAGTTTTACTGTAAGGTTTGGAATGGTTCAGGTTCTTTTTTTCTCTTTGATGGCCATAGAAATAATAATAATAATTGTAATAAAAATATATATATTTTTTTTTAATTCATTACAATTCAATGCAATTTTTATATTTATAGCCTAACAGACAAAGCAATAGAATCAATAACAGATCCTCAGATAATTCCTAGTTCAATGATACAGAGGATATGCACTACAATTTGGATTACATATAACAGTTTGAGAAAACATTCAATTTTCGTCGAAGAAGCATCAAAGTATTTTATTGTACTAAAATTTTTGGCTAAAAGTCAATGCATAGGTATTCGTAAAGAGTGTCAGCATAGTGCTAATTGTTTAATAAATATTTATTATTTAAAGGTTTGTCTGTTTAACTATTGAAAATATTGTAATTTACGATTTACTTATTATTGTGATTTTATTACAGTATGAGTTTAAAATTGAATGTGATTTATCCGAATACACTAATGAAGAAAAGCTAATGAAAAAATGTGTCAACTCAGTCGTACAAGGTAATTTTTACATTTTAAATCATGACATTTTTTGCATAAATTAATTTTAATAATTTATTATTTTCTAATGACTTAATTAGATGAATGTTTCAACAATATGAAGACTTCTATTATACAAGCTAGATTATCAAGGTTATCTAATTTATTATTCCAGTCGTTTGAAAATGTTATAGTACAATTTGTTAAGGAGTCTGCTTTACAAAGAAATAACGAAAACATATGTATATTTGGTCAATTTATAAACACCTTTGGAAATGTTGGCTCTCAGCTTGCAACTAAATTATTAGAACTTGGAGAACTTTTAGTGTCAACTTATGACCCAGTGTCTCAAGCTGCGTTTAAAGTACCACTTTGGACATTGATTCGACGAATTACACAATTAGTTACTGTTAATAGTCAATCAAGTAATTTTGTTTTTTTTTAAATTTATATACCAGTTAGATTAAGAAATCAATTTAATATTTTCTATTTTAGGTTTGTTAACCAGAGCTGTTGAATTAAGTCAGTGGGTTGAACCATTTTATTTAACATGTGGAGATGTGGTTAATAGCGATAATATAGAACTTGGGTTAGCATATTCTTGGAGGAACGGAATAATTGACAAAAACTCTATACACATAGAATTTTTTGAACAATTTAAACTTTATAGTTTATTTTTAAGTAATTTTCAATTAGTTATTTAGTACCAAAATTACAAATAATAATAATTATTATTCTTTTAGATTTTTATAATCCAAAATCTTCATTACACTGCTACAAGAAAATAGATATTAAAGATGTCTATGATAGCATTGTAAGTGCTACAATTAAGTTTTTAAAATAATGTGAAATAAAATATTTAATTAATCAAATCCTTTTAGCCATCACCAGATATAATAATGTCTTCGTTAGAATATTTCCAAGGTCAGAATCTTATTGGTCTTCACATAACTGTGACACAAATAATGTGCTTATATCGTGCTGTTCATCAAAATCAACAAACATTAGTAAGTACTTAATTAATAATAAATTACAAAAACATTGATTATAATTAATAATTATTTATCATACTGTTGTATATTTGTATATTTTCAATACATTTCAGGAACCAGAGTTAATTAAAAAAGGAAATAATTTGATAAAAAGTAATGTCAGACAAATATTAAAAAGTGTTACTTATGCTCGAAACTTGGATATGGATCTAGGGTTAGGTCTTTTAAATACTCTCAGACCACATGATGCTTTCAATTGGCTTGAAGATGCTTTGAATAAGTATAAGATACAGTGTTATAAAGTTATGGGGTTTTAATGATTATATATTTTTAATTATGTATTATTGTTTAATCTACAGTGTAGGGATGAACTATCAAAAATTAACAAATATTACAGATTTAGGATTAGTTTACTTACAATTAAATATTGAAACTGCTGGCGATTTGTATGAAATTCTTAAATCAACAAAAAATAAATGTATTTGGGGTAAAAAATTGATGAAGTATGGATTTGCATTTAAAGGTATATAAATATTTTTAATAAATTATAATGAGTTAGATTCTGAATATTTGTATTTATTTATAATTTTTTTTTAATTTTAGATGCATTTTACAGTTCAGAATTAGATCAACGACATTTATTACAGAAAATGATAAGATCTCCTACCATAACATTAAATGTTTTAGTAGACTACTGTGCTGATACACATTTTGATTTACAACAAACTGCAAAATTATTTTTAGAAAGTTGTTTAATTCAATGGGAACCATACACTCCTAGGGAAAATGAAGAGAAGACATTTGGTGAATAGTTTACACTAAACTTTTTAAAATATTTAATCAGTAAAATAAAATGCTAATTATTTTGCATGTCGTCTTTAGATTGGATAGCTAAAATAATTGAGGACAAAGATGCTTTATTAAAAAAATGTGAAGATATTTTCTGTGTTATTACAGATAAAACTGATATTTTAGATTTTCTTTGGAATAATGTTTGGGAACAAGTAAGGCAGCAATATTGTTTTTTACTTAACTCAGTTTAAAACTAAATGTTTTGAATGTATTTTTATTATTTTTTTCGTGTTTAGGTGAATATTTATTATTATGAAGTATTTTTAGTAATAATGGGTTTAATTGAAAGATATGATGTAAATGCAATTTTAAAATTTCCTGTTCAAAAAGAAATTTTGATATTTTTAATGCAATACAAACGAGTAAGTTTACCTGAAGAACACGAACAAGAAATATGGTATGCCATGTTCCAGGAATCACAATCATTACCTCCTATTTCTAAATACCGTTTACCCTATGTTCCACTCTCAAACAAAAAAAAAAAAATTGGACATCGTGAAATTCTGGCTTGGAAAATTATAAAACCAGAATTAACTTTTTTAACATATAATAAATGGTTTTCAATAATTGAAGCAATTGGAATGGACAAGGACACATTATGTATTTTTACTGTAAAGAATATGGTATGAATTGTTTAATACACAATTATGTATAGATTACAGACTAACCAAGTGTGTAATAATATTTTAGGTTAATGAGGTAGCTACTAAGGATAAAAATGTTGAATGGTATTTACACATGCGCTTGGAATCATTGCTTAAAGATATTCAAGAAGTGTTGAGCAATGTAAAGAATTTAGAAATAGTTGCTGCCTCGCTTTACTTTGTTGTCAATAGTTTACCCTTAGGTATTACTTATATTTTTTAATGTCAATAAGTAATGACTAATTTTAAACAAATTATAAAAACTGCTGTAATAAAAATATAATATCATTTTTTTAGGTGCGGATCAGTTGGCAGCAGCTAAAATTAGTCATTTACAAGCCCAAGAATGGGTTAAATTAGAAAATTCAGAAAATGCCAAGTCTGGTATTACTAAAGTATGTATAATAATATATTTCAATTAAACAAAAACTGATATTTTTTTTTATAAAGGTTGTTACAAAATATGTGTTAATTACAACTAAACATATATTACACATGTATGGTTTTGGCAAAACAAATTATTTACAATTAGCATTGCAACCTAATGAATTAATTAGAGAATTATATAATGATCCAATAATACTTAAAAGACATACAGGAGAAATTAAAGTGTTTCCTGGTAAGTTATAAGGCTATATTAAGGTGTTTGTTTCAAATTATAAATTATACTTATAATTTTTAGACATTAATGGTGCAGTTGATGCAATCGTGGAAGTTCATGGTAAAGGAGATTTGGCGCTCAAAGTAGATCTTCTAAAAGAGTGGTTACAACCCTCATCATTGGGATCAATGGATTCTCCTGATAAAAGTGTTATGTCAACAACTAGTTCATTTTATGTTACTCAAGAAAATTCAACAATCAGCGAAGGTGTATTAAGGTGATAATTATTATTTAAATTAGTCTAACTTTTGTTAAATACAGCCAAGCACTGAGCGTTGTTAATTATGTAATTACTTTTAGAGCATGCTATCTATTGGAAAATGATACACCAGCTTACAATTTACATAATTTCCTTATATGCCAAGCTTATAACGAAGACGACAGTGATTCTATGTGCCCTACAAGTGTACGGCTAAGAGCATTGCAATGTTTGTGCTTGGTAACAACTGAAAATATTGAAGAAATTACTTGTCGTTCGAAAGAAATGATGAAGTAAGAATATTTATCTTGATAATTACGATAGTGAAATTTAACAATGAAATAACTTTACTTATTTGAATATTAGAAATAATTTGGTTGAATTATCAATTATTACTGAATTGGAAACTCTTGGAATCAATTTTTCACCAGTAAGATACCGTGGATGTGATAAATCCAAACTAGTCCAATCGTTGATGGCAAGAAGATCGTCGAGTTCTACTAAATTAGCTTCACATTTATGTATTTTATATTCGGATGCCATGAATCCCAGTATTTGGGATTTATTACTTACTAGATTAATTAATTTTACAATGATTATTGAACTGGAAAAAGTACTTGTTCATTTGATGGATAAATGGCATAAATTGACATTTGACATTGTAGAAAAAGCCTGGAGTGTTTTTCTAAAGTCTTCATTCAACAATGGTATGAATCATCCAATTAATCAATTAAATAGTAATGAAGAGTGATGCCACAGACTTCTATTTCGCAACTGAAAAGAACTAATGAGAATCAAACTTATGAAATTATAATTTGAATTCGGTTTATAGAGAAAATAACTATTTGTATTATTATTATGCTATTTCATTAAGCATTAGGATTTTTGAACACTGTTAAGCTTATTTTAGAACTGATCTAAGCCAGGGGTATACACGCGGAAGGTTTACCCCACCCAAAAAAAAAAACATATATATATATCAGAAACAAATGATAAATTATCCGACCTAGAGATGTACACTAATAAAAAAATTCAAAAAATTTCAAAATTTCCCCTGTAATTTTTTAAAGTTTGATAAAATTTTGAATAATTTGGTAGTTTGATATTTTTTTGACGGGTTCAAATAAAAAATTGTAAGCTCATATAACCTATAAATATCAGGGTTTGTAGCATCACTAATAATAATTAAAGTAAAACCACAATTTTTATGTTTTATAATTTTTTTTTTAGCTAAAGATTCTTATGAAGTTATACATTGTGCCAAATTGGTTTTCAGTTGTCCGGTCATAGATAGCATTGATCTAAAACCAATGATTGAACATTGCGAGCGCTTTCAACTCGATCAATATGTACAAAAGTTGAAGTGTCTTGGAAACCAAATTTTTTTAATTTAGATATGTAAATAAATGATTGCTAGTTAAATTTTTATATCAATCTAGAATTGTCTAATTATAATTTTTTTAACAAAACTATTGTCTAATTATAATTTTTTTAACAAAACTATTTTATTACAATATATACAAAATACAATAATTTATAATATGTTTAATGATAATCTCATTTATTCTTCAAAAACTCTTTTTAATTCTGCTTCTCTTCGTTCTTGGAATATCCTCTTGAGGTCAGAAATTTTTTGTTGAGGTTCTGGTCTTTCTGGCGGAAACATCTCTCTCTTGAATTTTATTACTTTATCTTCATAATTTTCTGGTAAGTTGAAGTAATGGAATAAGATAACAGGAAATGCCATATAAATACCCATGCGAAACACTTCCAACTGCCACTTAGCCATATCTAAATAGAAATTAAACAGTATTATTTAGTAAGATCATTACAAATTGCATTATGTTAAGTTATCATAAATATACTTTGAAAAAAGAACAAAAACAATTTAAAAATACTCAAGAGTAACAATTTTTTAAAAATAATTTAAATGATAAAATAGATTTGGATACATGTACTCCTAGAGAAGAGATATTCGAAGGGACCTATAATTCAGTGTTTGGAAGGAAATGCGTTTAAAGGAATTCGTTCCATTTTTAGGAACGTATCGGAATTTCATTCACTTTTTAGAAGGACATGAACAATTTTTTTTATTCCTTTCTTTGTCAATTGAATTTTAAATAAAAGTAATAAATCATTTTTTGAATTAAAAGGGAAAAAGATTTTTTTGGAGATATTTTGAGTAATTCTTCAGTGAAGAGTCTGATGAATAATTTAATGATTTTCAACATTCTAATAATACAGATATAAAAATGATTTTAAATGTTCCTAAAGTTTTAAAATACTTTTTTATATTATAATACAGGATTACCATCAAGTGCATTAGTTATTCAGTTGAACGTTTATTCAATACTGGTGGAAATATTATGTTTATAAAAAGATTTTCTTTAGCTGATAACATGTTTGAAACCTTAATTATGTTAAAGCAAAATAAAATCTATATTTAAATACACTGTAATACTGTATATAATATAATGATTAATGTAGTCGTATACTGTATAGTAATAGTAATATGTACAGAAGTACAGTTTAAATTAAACAATTATAGGATAAAAATAAACCTGTTTTTTAATTTAATTTCACTTCAGACTAAAAAGGAACAAGGAAAAGAACTAGTTCCTTTCTTCAAGACAGGAACTGTAAAGGATTTAGTTCCTTTTCAACAAAAGGAACATGAATTTGAACCGATTCCTTTTTCAAAGAAACTTTTTAAGAACTGCCTATGATTTATATATTTTTTTAAAGATTAATTTAAATAAATATATTAATTAATTTATAATAAATTATTTAAACAAATAGAATACAAGCTAAATGATAAAAAAATTGTGCGTACTACATAATAATAATAATAATAATAATTTTAATGTATTTTTTTTAGTAATTTAACAAAAACTTCTGAGGAACAGTAAATAATGAAGAAGATTTTCTAAAGTTTAATTTATGTATTTTTTTATAATTTTATTGTCTTACCTTTATTTTAAATTAGATTTAACAGTTAGTAAATAGTCCAAAATTACAAAATGTAAAAAACAATTTGTATTCAAAATATATATTATCACAATCAGCAATTATTGCTATTGTTCACGGTTATCAACCAATATCTGTAGATAACCATTCTAGAGCCATAACAATATAGTGATAAAGCCATAAAGCAATTATCAGAATAATTATCCCATAATATTATATGTCGAAAACGAAGATATAAAAAAATACATTTTTTATTTTATATTTTTAAATCGGTTGTGGAAACATGATAATTGATGAAAGTTATAATTTTTAATCTATTTTTATCACCCAGCTGTGTTCGTGAAAAACTGGAAAACACTGAACGAATAAGCATTATTGTTATAAGTATAACTATAGCGACTGCGGATTATAATTGCTTAAATTGTATATTAAGATAACTACCTTTTGTTCCACAAAAGACTATATACTAAATTGTTAATTGTTTCGAAGTAAATTTTGTTAAAACCACAATTTATTCACTATTCATGTCTAAAAAAAACTAGTAAAAGAGTAACAAAAATTACAAAACAAGTAGAGAAGGAAGATAAGGTCATAGTGTGATACCGCTAAAACTACTCCTGTATACCATGGTTTAAGGAGATCTTTATCTTCCGTGGTAAAATTAAAAAAAAAATTATTCTTACAATCTACAATGCAACCAACACAGTTTAATAGCATACCATAGTATGAAAAATGAAATATAAATAGTAATAGAACAAAATATAGAACTAATCAAAATATTATAAATGGGATTAAAATTAATAAGGAAATCGTTTATTTTAATGTTTAAATAAATTATTGAACTTTTAAATACTTATTTATATTTTACTTATATGTTTGTCAATTTGTAAAGTATGTATTGGTAACACTATTATCAATTTGATGTGACAATCAACATAACCTTAAATTTCAAAATGTTACCTACTCTTTTGCTCTTCGTGATTTAATACCGTAAGTCGGAGGTTTCCTTTTTGTAGTTTGCGACTATATAGCTTAATTCTGCGTTAGAACTTTGTAAATTTATTGAGTGTAAGTATATTTTATTAACCCATAATCTATTTAATTAAATTTACTTAAGGTTTTTTTGTCATTCGGTAATCGAACTTTGATATTATGAATTTTACATTAGCCATGTGGCAATGTTACTCCTCTACCATTCATTAATATTTATTTCCATTAGTAATTATTAATTGTTTATTTAGACTAAAATGGCTCCAAGAAAAGGAAAAGTACAGAAAGAGGAGCCAGTAATCCAATTGGGACCACAAATTCAAGAAGGTGAATTGGTTTATGGCGTTGCTCACATTTTTGCTAGCTTCAATGATACATTCGTGCATGTCACAGATTTATCTGGAAGGTAAATATTGTTTGATGACTAAACTGTTGGCTTAATGATGTTAAATTATTACCATGTACAGTAGAATCTCATTAATCTGGATTAATTGGGGTTCCATTTTTGAATTAAATGAAAATCTGGTTAAAACAAAATTACCTACAAGATGAAGGCGAGGTATATTTCTTTAAACATTGTATAGTAAAAAATAATATGTTTTTAATCTCAAGAAATACAATGGTAATTTAGTTTGCGTGAATTTTCATATAATGCGATACAGTATTACTAGTCCATAAAATATACCAAATACCTAGTTATTCTAATTTTTTTTTTTTATAATGCTACAAATATATATTATCGAACTGCTGTTATAATTGATGAGGTTTTTACTGTACCTAATAACTTTCAAAACAACTTCTTTCTCTAAACATATCAAAAACTTTTTACTAATACTAAATTCACCACCAAATAACTACCTAGTAAATACTTAGATACAAAATAATAGGTATGTATTATATATTATTATTTAACATTTTAAAATTGTTTTAAATGTTTTAGCTCCAATATTTTGTATACATGTATATAATAGTTATTTCCATTAAGAACCAAAATGTGTCCTCCTATTTTCTTAATTAATTAAACACATTATTTACTTGTATATGATTATGGACATTTTATACATTTTTTCAACAAACTATTCACAACATTAAATTTATATTTTTTCAGAGAAACAATTGCTAGAGTTACTGGTGGCATGAAAGTAAAAGCTGACAGAGATGAAGCTTCTCCTTATGCTGCTATGTTGGCTGCCCAAGTATGTTTTAATTATTAATAATAATCTATAACTTATATCGAGGCTTGGATTGAAAAGACCTCATCAAACTTTTTTGACCCACACAAAATAGAAAAGTTTCATTTAGCAAATCCAATTTTATTTTGTTATCTTAAATGATAAAGTGAATTGACCTATCAAACTTTTAAGTTGTTAAATCTGTTTCTATGTATGCTAAGTTACAATATTTCTTATTTTTGCACAATGTATGAGCATTTTTAAATTATAATATTTTGCATACTCATCATTTGTATAAAATTAATTTATTGTTAAAAAAAGCCAACATACAAACACCATATACAATGCTCAAAAGTTGAATGATTAGTTTGTTCACTCTTATATTAAATCTAACAACACAAGACTGTGTTTCCTAAACACAAATTTATCATGATAGGCTGAGACAATGAGAAAATTATATCGTGCTGATGTGCTGGATCGTGCAAATTCGTGATTTTTGACTATCTAATAAACTTAGTTGGGGTTCAAAAAAAATGTTTTGAATTATTATTTGTTTAACTTTGTCATAATCTTAGAGGTGATCAATGCTTGATTTACTATGGAAAACTAGTCTAAGTAGATTTACTTAGAACAAATTAATATTCCTTAATTACAATTTTGTATCATTGGAATTTGTGTTCAATTCTATGTTATTGCTATTTAAAAGTATTGATAGTGTTTATTTTCTAAATGTTAAATAATTACTGCTTCCTTATCATCTAATAATTTCATGTGGATGGTAAATAATAATTATTTAAAATGTCAGTGTTAGTGTTGATAATAAGTAATAAATTAGGTTTATACTTCGATACAACATGATTCTCTTAACATTCATAATTCCAAGTTTCGTACTAAATTAATATAGATTTTATGAAGACATTTTTTATTTTGACATTTTAAATTTGTTTTTGTATTAAAAGTCAATAACTTGAACACTATTGCTAGACACCTAGCCGATATGATAAGGAAAACCTGACCCTACGTGAACAGTAGAACAGTGCCTTTATTTGAATGTTGTGGGTGTTTTTACTCTATGTACTTAGTACTTGCTGCTTTAATCAACACTTATCATACTATAAACATGTTAGAATAATTTGCATAAGTGTATTGTTTGTTAATGAAAAAAATAACTTATTTTTGTTTAAAAGACATTAGTTCTGTGGTCCGTAGCTTATCGTTCATTTAGGAACTCTCAGAAAGGTGGATGGCTTATCCATTCTATATTAATTAAGATGGTCAAACGCCTTGACACAGTGTAATTATTTAAAGTTTTTTTGTGGTGTTTTGTTGTAATTTTACTAAATCATTATTGGTAGTCACTCCATCCCAGCAAAATGTGTCACTACTAAAATCATTTTCTTTTTACCTTATAAGAAAGTTTTCTAAATTCAGTATTGCCAATTATTAAAGTATTGATTATGTTTTTAAATAGTTTCAATCTAGGTACATTTTTTCTCATTACCCTCTAGCACAGCGGTTTTCAAACAGTGGTCAAAGGAAACACCTAAGTTAAAACTAATTAATTATTGTTAGCATTGTAATTTAATTGCATTGTAATAACTAATATGTGTCAACATTTCTCATTTTTTTGCATTATAAAGAAATTCTTATTTTTAATGGGGCTCCACAAAAGTTTTTAAAGTTTAATGAGAGTTTTTACACATAACAAATATAATACCAACTTAATAATTATATTTAAATCTTTACACTTCTATTTTTAGTAGTTAAAAAACTATCAATTACTAGTCATAGGTAAACTAAAGGTATGGATTTATATGTTACCTCACATTTTTTCCCATTTTTAGATTTTTGTACATAATCTTTACAAATCGTTTAAAAACGAAAATGCATTAATACAATGTTTAGTTTACATGTATTGGCTTGTATGTTTGACCAAAATTTCATATTTGACTAAAACTTAATGACAAATAAACTTAAATACTTTTTGTGCATATGATAAATCTATGCTCTAACCATTAGATTTAGATAATAACTCAAACTCATATTGAATACATATTGTTATTTTCTTACATATAATATTTATTAATTATTTATTTTATTTTAGGATGTTGCTGAAAAATGTAAATTATTGGGTATCACAGCTTTGCATATTAAATTGAGGGCTACTGGTGGAAACAAGACAAAAACACCTGGTCCAGGAGCACAATCTGCATTGCGTGCTCTAGCTCGTTCAAGTATGAAAATTGGCAGAATTGAAGATGTAACACCAATTCCCTCAGATTCTACACGTAGGAAGGGTGGTCGCAGAGGTAGACGTTTGTAATTTACCAATTTTTATTTGTATTGCATATTGTGTATATCACAAATATTAAATCGGACTTCTCTTTATACAAAGACTTATTTTTTCTTGAAGACTTTAAATCCCAACAGTTTCCTATGTTTCTTTATTAATTATAAGTGACATGTCACTTAGATAAAAATCATTATTTTTGTTTCAATATCCTGTATCATAGTTAATACAAGACAATAACACAGATTTGCATAGCCTTTTAGGGGTTGAATTTTGAACATGTTGTGTCAAGATAAGTTTAAAATAATATTCTGCAGTGTCATTTTTTGTTATTTAAGAATCAGTGTTTTATTATAGCATATTAAAAGAAATGCATTTTTAAATCAGTATATTTTTGTATTCAAAGTATTTCAATAAATATTGAATATGAATCCATTTTATGGCTGATACACTCGTTTCATTATTCGTCGTATGTTAATATTGTGTATTGTACTGAAAGTAAGCATAAATTACTGACAAAAGAAGTATGGTTTTGATTTATAACATACTTATTTTATGTTTTAAGTTTATTAAATAAAAAAAATTCAAGTGTGAGGTTTGATACAACTGTGGACTGATTATTAGTGATATGACAAAATGAACTGTTAGTAAATTAAAAATGAATGTATCCATGTCATAAATTTTTGAATTACAACCAGCAGATTTCTATGTTCCTGCGTAT